CCCCCCCCCGCCCCCTCTCCCTCTTCCCCTGCCGCCACACACATCCGCACACACACACGCGCTTGCGCAGCATCTCCCCCTCGCTCCCAAGAGAGCCCGCGCCTCACCATACAGCATGGATCCCACCAGCGGGCACCCCTCGGCGGACAGCCGGCCGGTCCCGGTGCCGGTGGCCCGGCTTGAGCACCTTCACCAGGAGAAGGACCTCCTGGAGGGACGCCTCTCGGCCATCGATGGGCTGATCGAGCAGCACTTCCCGGAGGCACTTGTTGACCGGACGGCCGCGGTGGCCCCGGCCCCGGCCGCGCCCGGTGCCCCCCTCGAGGACTGGGAAATCGAGTGGGAGATCGATCAGTCGATGGCACGCGCGAAGGCCCCCCCGGAACCCCAGCAGCCCATGCCCCTGCCCGCCATGATGGACTTGTCTTCCGATGCCCCGGACTCGGACGACCATTCTACCGAGCCCGACTTCGATCCGGCCACCGATTCGGACCAGGACCCGGGCCCGGAGTCGCAAGAGGACCCCGGCGATCTGGACGATGGGCACGCTGCGCATGACACCCAGGATGACCATCTCGATGGTGGCGATGGTGACGGCGACGCCGGTGAGGACCATCGCGGCCGCGATCACCAGGACGATGAGGAAAATGAGGATGGCGCTCCTCGGCTCCGGCGCCGGTGCCACGACGCGCGCCTCACCCTGGACGCGGATGGCCAAGTCAGCCTGCTGGGGTCCATCCTGCTGGACCACGACCATTCTCCGGAGGCCGGGGACCTGGACCGGCCGGTGATCTTGCTCAACTGGACGGCCATGTCCAATGGGGCCATCAACTCCGACCAGGTGACCAACCTGTACCTGGAGGATGAGAACTTCGGCCGGCCGGGCTACGAGCCGACCAACCCGCTGGCCATTTCGTACCTTCGCATGCAGCGCCGGGTCATCGATCTCCTGTATCACGGCCAGGAGGGCGCCTCCGGATCGACTGCCGGCCGAAGCACGCGCAATCGCCATGGCAACCCGGAGGGCCATGATGACGACGATGACGAGTACCACGACGAGGAGGATGACAACGATTACTATGGCCAGGAGGGGGATGGCGACTTCTACGGCGAGGAGGACGACTTCTACGGCGAGGAAGATGACTTCTACGGCGAGGAGGACGATTTCCACGCTGAGGAGGACGATTTCCACGCCGAGGAGGATGACTACCCTGATCAGGGGCACGAGTCTGCCGATGGAAGGGACAGCCTCACCCATGAAGATGGCGACCTGGAGCACGAGGGCCGCCCCACGCGTGGGGGCAAGCGCTCGCCCGCCAAGGCCCACGGCCCTGGCATCGAGGAGGGGGCCGCCATCGATGAGTATGAGCATGATGATGATGAGGAGGAGGAGGAGCAGCAGGAGGAGCAGGACACCGCAGACAGCGACCATGAGCATGGGGCCGGCAGCGACTCGGCTCCTCTGTCTGAGGAAGAGCCAGCTGACGACGACGACGACGATGATGATGACGACGACCCGCATGACTCGCTGCCCTCGGACTTTGAGTCGCACCAGGGCCTGGGCATGCATGATGACTATGCGTCGGACCTGGCCTCCGATGGCCTGCCCGACATGCAGGAGGAGGAGGACTACGAGGATGAGGAGGATGCGGCACCGGCACACGACTTCGAGCAGATGCTCGACCAGCTGTTCGACATGGGCCTGGCCATCCACACCACGGCCGACACCTGGGCCGACAACCGGCCGACTACCTTCTTCACTGGCGACGCCACCGGACCGCGCGACTACTGGGCCCCGGTGGAATACCCCCGGAGTCTGTGCCACGGCATGCGCGACTCGCTCGACACCTGGCGCTTTGTCCAGTCCCGCTTCTGGTTCTCCGCTACTGAGAAGCTATCCTTCAGGTGCGCCCGGCCGTGCTGGCGACGGTCTTCCCCTTTTCCTTTCTTCTTCCGTGCATCCTCGTGGCTCTGACACATACAAACATGCAAATGTGCGTATACGCATGTGCATCCCCCGGCGTGTGTGTGTACTTGTGTACGTGTGTACGTGTGTGCGTGTGTGCGCGTGTGCGTGTCTGGTTGGCCTTCGGGCGCGCAGAATGCTGCAGCGGGAGATTGCCCTCTGCAACCGGCCTCTTTCCTTCAAGATCACCCTCCTGGAGGAGCTCCAGCGCCTGGCAACCAAGCAGCCGCACAAGCCCTGCCCGCTGGGCCACTTTGACCCTGCCTCGCCCGCGGCCGAGCTCAACATCCTCGATCGCATCCTGGCCATGGTTCTCAGCCGGTCGAACGCCCTGCAGAGTTTGGACCACGGCGCGGTCCGGTCCCCAGCTGCCATCCTCTCTCTTCACAACCGCATCCGCCAGACCTGGCACGATGACTTTGGCGGCCTCCCAACATCGGGCAGCCTGTGAACATCGGCCCGTCTGTGAGCGTCTCCCTTTCTCCGGCTTTGCCTGCCGTGTCTCCCCCCCTCTCCCTCTGGAGGATGGACGCCCCTGTGTGTCGACATACGCCTCCAAGGCACCCCTCTCCCCTTTGTGCCTCCTTCTCGTGGAAGCGCCCTCTCCTCCCCGCCCCCTTCCCCCCTTCTCCGGGCAATTGCACCAGCAGGGACGGCTCACACTTGGGCAGTTGGAGAAGAGAAAACACAGCGGGGCACCCCGCGCCAATGCATCACTTGTTGTCCTATTCGACCTGCCCAGATAAAAGCACACCTCGCCGCTCCCGAGGGGATAGAAGGGGGGGGCAACTTTCTTTCTTTTTTCTTTCTCTCTCTCTCTCTCATGGTGTGTGCTTGCGTCTGTGCCTGTGTGTGTGTGTGTGGCATGCGGCATATGACGTGCAGGGCGAAGCAGGCTTGGCAAGGGCACACGCCAGCGGAACGGGCAATCAAAACTACTCGCCGGCCTGGCCTCCGCCTCCTCCTCCTCCTCCTCTGGGCATGGCAAGAGAGAGGGGGGAGGAGAGGGAGAGAGGCACCGCCACGCCCCAACCGAGGCACGCTCTTTGAATGGTTTTTCTCTGCCCGTGTGTGGTGTGTGTGTGGGGGGGGGGGGGGGGAAGGGGAATTGGGGGGAGGTATTTGAGCGTCGGATCGACGATCGTATCTGAAGATGCACATGACCATGTGCGGCAATTGCGGGGCACAGCAAGGGGGTGAGAAGCCCTTCCCTCAGTCCCCCGCCCCGCCCGGTGCTTCGTGCCTTTTCGTCTGGCGTGCTGGCGCGCGGCCCACGGCGGCAGGGGACAGGGCGAGGGAGGCAGGATGGAGGCAGGGGAGGCAAACCCACGCATGTGCTCCTCGGTGGATGGGGAGGGGGCGGCTTAAGCCGCTTCGGGTATTCGACCCGCAGGCCCGGCCCCAGCGCGACCGTATACCAGCAGCCCCAGCTGCCGGGCCACCTCGGAGATCCATCTATCAAGGGGCCCGCCGGGTGGTGCGGGCTGTCCGCCCGGGGTCCCCCCAACCAGCCCGTGTCCTCTTGGGCCTGGCACCACCAGCAGGAAGTACACCCCGAAGGCGCACAGGGCCAAGACCGATGCCACGGCCGCCGACAGAAGCAGCCGCGAGGAGCGGTCCACCGCGACCGGGGAAGAGACCGAGGCGGCCATCGCATTTTGGCTGGGACGCCGTTGTGCCGGCAGCCTTGTTGTCTCGGTCCCGGGCCGGGCGCCAGCCGCGCCGAATGGCGCCCGGCGCCGGACACTGAGCGACGTTTGGGTGAGCGGGGTCCTGGCGAGGGAGGGGCAGGAGGAGGGCAGCAGAGGCGGCCGAGGCACATGGGCGAACATCAATCAGCACGTCAATGGCCGAGGCGCATGCCTGTGATCGGGCATTCGACACCGAGCGAGAGAGAGAGAGAGGGGCAAGCAGGCAGACGCGCGAGGCAAATGGAGGTGACGCACCGGTGGACGCCATTTGCGGGATAATTTCCCACCGAAGAAGATCGGCGAGGCATGGAGCGTGCCGCGCCGGATCCCACCCGCCGGGGGTCATCCCAGGTGGTGATCTTTCGGTTGTGGTCCACAAAGAAGAGCAATCCATCCCGGGTGTAGGCTGCCTCCCAGCCCGGCGGCAGGGGGGCTCCCTGCTGGGGCGGGGGCGGAGCATTCGGCCGAGCCGATGGCACACTCTTGGGACTTTGGACGGCACAAGGGGGGAGAGAGAGAGAGAGAGAGAGAGGAGGGGGAGGGAGGGAGAGAAGGAGCGGAGAGAAGGAAAAGCAAGAAGGGCAGGGGTAAGCGGCGCGCCAGGGAAGAGTGAAACCACAAGAGGTGGGAAAGGCGAGAGCCCAGGCGTACCCGGTGGCCTGACCGTGAGTTGAGGAGGCGGAGGGGGCGTCTACCGCCTGGTCGAGGGGCTTTGGAGGAATGGCCTGACTCGGCAAAAGGGGGCGGAGAAATAGGAGCCGGTAAATAAGGCATGCCGAGAAGCGGGGAGACAGAGACAGAGAGAGAGAGAGAGGCGCAGATGCGGAGACGAGTTGCAGGTGAAAGGGCGGCGGGAGGGGCATGCCCATGGGTCGTGGGATGATGGCCTACCTGCTCCGAGGGGGTGTCATCAGTGACCGGCAGCGGGGGGGTGATGGCCCCGGCGTCGAAGGGCACGGCCGTGTCGATGACTGAGATGGACTTTGATCGAGGGGGCGCAAGCCGAGGCTCAACCGCGGGGGCATCACCATGGGCCGGGGTGGTGATTGACCGAACCGGGTTACCCTTCGAAGCCGCGGGGATTGCGGCCCCTTCGGCCGCCAGCGGCGGCGATAGATCACGCGTCACCATTGCAAGCCCAGGGACGGAGGGAGGAGGGGGGGCTCCAAGTTTGCCAGCACAGGAGGAGTCTGAAACCGAGGCGAAGAAAGAGAGGAGGAGAGGGCACGAGGGAGCGAGGGCAGGGGGGAGGGGTAGAGAGAGAGAGAGAGAGAGAGAGGTTGGGTGTCAGTTTATACGCCTCCTTTGGCGGGGCTCTCACCTGCGCCTCTCACGAGCAAGCAGGGACAAAGGACGCACACACGCAAGGACGCCAGGTCCGGCAGCGACGCGCCTCGAGCGGCTGTGCGGGCGGGGGAGGGCGAACGGCAAGCAGGGAAAGAGGGAGAGGAAGGGGAAAGGTTGTGATGCCGGCTCAGGCCATCGGGGCCGGGCTGTGGGGCAGGCGAGGGAAGGAAAAGCGGGGAGACGGGAATGGGGAGCCGGGCGGAGGAGGGCGCGGAGGGAG